CCCCCCCCCCCCCCCAGAAAGTTTTCTGCGGGCGCCCATGGATAGAACGAAAATGATTGACCGCCGGGATGGGTATCTTAGTAAATGCTCTAGGGCAGGGATTCTTAACCTTTGTTTTGCAGCGCTGCAGGCCGACTCCGTTTTTAACCCCCCCCCCCCCTTTTTCCAAACCTATAAATTGTATTGTAATAAAATTTAAAAATTAAATAATTTAGTTATCGCAGTTTTATTTCCTTAATTAACTTTCTATAAACAATGGAACAAAAAATACCAATACAAGCAATGCGCCAACAATATTCACCAGAAAAACATTGACTGCTGCTAATCAAAATGCATAAAAACTTCTTTAGACAAAAAAAAAACAGCAACATCTAGCAATGGCGCGAATACAATCAGTGACGTAGCTAGGGATGATGTCACCCGGTTCAATAAGCTCGTGGTGTCATCCCCTCCCCTCCCCCCCTTTCTTCGACTTTCGCGATGTAATTTTTCGTGTTAAACTTAGTCCGCGGTATAACATATACAAAAACAAAAACACATTAATTGAAGGTCAAGCGATAAATTTATTAAAGAACTGCAACGAACTTAGAATCGCCCATTGTTATCAAAGGATAGTTTTATTTCTCAGAATTTAGAAAAATATAGCTTCCTGTCACTTACAAAATTTACAGAACACTTCATTTGGCGTTGAAACATGGTCAAACGGTGTGTTTCTGACCTAATAATAAGGTAACCTAATTGTCTACGCATCAACCTTGACATTTTAATAAAACATGCATTTTGATTGGTTATATGGATGGAAAATGTACGTGTCATCTGTTATCCTTTTATGAATTTCGGTTAGACCGAGCAGTGTGTGCTCTGTGCTCTGTTTGGTGTCACCCCTTGAGATGGTGTCACCCGATGAGTTCCGCGACCCCCCCCCCCAGCTACCCCACTTAATAAACTTTTCTGGTCTTTTACCCCCCAGGGCTGAGGAGGTACTTTTCCCCCTGGTTAAGAACCACTGTTCTAGTGACATTTTTCACACACAGGTGCAGTAATTTGATATCCACAGGGGGGGGGGGGGAATTTCTTAATGGTTTGTAAAGGACAGCAGTGGACACAGGGACTTTTTATAGTGAGGGGGGGGGGGTCTAACTTTTTATGACGATTTGTGGCGATGGGCGGGTGGGGGGGGGGGGTTGAAAATTGGCAAAATTTGCGTGACGTCAGTTATGGATGGCCCCTTAAGATAAATTTCTTCTTGAAAACAATAGGCTATAGTTCTATGTATAGAAATGTGTGTTTATTAATTTCTGGGTGACATACATTTCTTTTCAAAGTAAGAGTGTTCAAAGTTGGGAAGAATGGCCGTGAAAATGGCCGTGATCGTGAGGTGAATTCATCTTTAAATTAATTCGGTTGTAAATTAGCAAATTATCATCTTTACAGTTTTGATAAACTCGTTTCATTTTAAAGTTTTAGTACGAACTCCCTAAATCCAAGGCCTGATTTTGGTCTACATTTCATGAAGTTTCAATAACAAAGACAAGTCAAAGTGAACAACAAAATATATTCAAGGCTAAGCATAATATTATTAAGTTTAAATATAATAGATTCCTGACAAGATTTAATAATTTTAAAATAATCTTGAAATGCATTTTTTTAAAACAATTTTTTTTGTTAATAAAATAAGAACAAAATTGTTTCCCAGTGATATTAAATGCTTTATATTGAATATGATTATACCATTAATTAAAATGTCGCGAGGAAAATATTATATTAAGTAAATTAACTTACTTTTTTTATAATTAAAAAGTTAATTCGTTTTATTTTTAATTTTTGTGCGTGTTGTCTTCATTTTAGTTAGTCACTAGTGTCACATGATCAAGTCATATGATTCGGAAAAGATGGCGGCCAAAGCTCTGCAATGTCTTGCAGTGTTTTCTTTACTATTTATTATAGCTGCTTGTGATATAACACAGCGAACGGTAAAATTATTTCATATTAACATCAAATTTAAAATTAACTGTGCTAAATGTTCTAGAGTGAAAGATGGTCATTTACCATAAAAATTAAGCAAATTAGTTTTTTTAACGTTGACTTTGAATAATGTAATTTATTTTTAGGTCAATGAATGAATTGATTATTGATTTTTGAACATTGAATGTCAATATTATTAATATTAATTAATAATATTATTATTTATTAATGATTATTTTGAAATTTATTGAAGTTACTTAGACCCTAACCCCCTTCACCCCAAGGACATTATAAAATCATATTGTTTGTAAGAGTAATTAAAACTTTAATTACTCTAACTTTAACTTTTTATACTTTATAAGGTAGCCTACTTTAATACTAGTCGACGCACCGACCTGCGCATGTCCAAAAATGTCGAAAAAACTTGTTCTATAAAATGGCATACAGCTACACGGTATATTTGGAAAATTGCATACTACGTCACCGTTTATTAAATAATTGCTTTCCTCATCAGTGACATATCAGTTTTTGTGTTCCGGATTAAATATTGTAATTGATTCAATAATGAAGAATGATAGACTGTGTACCGGTATCGTACACAGTTTTTAACGTAATAAATAAAACTTAAAACCAACCATTGGTTACTACATAAACTTTTCAAGTTTGGTTATAATCTTTTCTTAAATTATTAATTTTAAACGTCTGATAATTATTTAGATGTTTAAGGATTTAACATTAACGAATCACAGTGATAGCAGCCATTTCCGGCTTCTCGATCAAAATAAAAAATAATGACAATTTCATACCCCCATTTCTTCGCGGGATGCATAACTTTTTATCAACAGGTCAATGATAATAACTCCAAAAATGAAAAAACTCTTACAATGAATGTAGATTGGGGAGCATTAAACCGTATTTTGATGGCTTTACTAGTAAAAAAGTATTTATGAGATTTATGTACTAACTGAGTCATTATAATAATACTGTCCGTGATGCACAAAAAAATCTAGTAGCATAACTCAATATGATTTATATTGTATAGTAGGCCTGCCTATAGTCTTATATAGTCCAAATAAAATAAAATTTAATTAAATTTGTATGAATCAATGAATTGAATGACAGCAAGTCAGTGTCAGTGAGTGTGAATATATACACTATTCAATATACCATACTATACTCAATTATTAATACAATATATAATAGATAGTAAGGCCGTCGAAGATTAACTGATTTTTTAAAATTTATCATTATATTTACTGTATTAGTATGCATACCTGAATCACGACAAAAGACAAACATTATTTATTTAAAAAATAAAGCTTTCCCAACGTCCCATGTTATTCTCACTACTCCTAACGCATTTCATTCATAGGGCTTGATGACTCTATGACACAGTCTCTTTCACTATTTATTATTATTAGTTGCTATCACTATGATGTGGATTTCTTCTAATTTTATTATACTTATGTGAATTCTTTAATCTTGAATTGGTACAATTCTGTTTTGACAATTTGTTATCTTTAAATAGCTGATAAAATTTTAACTATAGGCTATAGGCTCTAATATAAGTGCTGCAAATTTATAAGTCTTATACCCTGTACGAAAAAAAATAAAGTAATGTGCAGTCAACGATGGTAAATGACATTCTTAGAAAAGTGGGTTGAATTTAGATTATTCGATACACTCTGTATTTACTCCATGCCTTGCTATTCACATGTTCAGGGAGAGCACTTTTCCATTTACTAAAACGCAGAGTTCTTCCTACTGGACTTTTTTAAACAGCCAGAAGCTTTTTGAACACAAAATTGACAGGAAAAGTTTTCATTAGTCACAATCCATAATTCATAGGCTGGTAGTCTTCCAAAATCCAGGATTTCCTGATTTCATTATTTTTAAAAATTGTTATGTTAGACCTAATTCTAAAATAAGTAAATATGGATTTCTTTTTTTTATATGTAAAAAAATATATAGTTAAACCATAGAAATAATACAGAACACAAATGAGTGAAAGACTTAAATAAAACTTTGCTAACTATATATAAAGGTGGGCCAATAATCTCACATCTCGTAGCGTAATATTTTACGAGATGTTCTCACTTTTATTGGCCCTCCCTGTATATATATATATATATTTCAATGAGACTTACTGTATAGCATATACTTAACAAAAGGCAATAGACTTGATTTATTTTTAACTTGTCAATCTTTAGGTGACTGTCACATCATGGCCTGATTGTGACGACTATAAAGAAGACTGTGAGAGGGCCAAACAGAATGGGTCAAACATTGTCTATGCTAAAGCTTCCAGCAAAGAGCATGATAATCTTTATTATGTTTTTAGTACAATTGGACTTCCAACAATTATTGTAGCTCATACCAAAGAAATGGATACAGACTTGACCTTCAATTGGACAAAATTAATGGAAGGAAATGGTTCCATTGTTGATGCGATCAATTTTAAATCTCCTATCAATGAAGTGTATTTATTTGGTGTGGCCTTTACCAGGGTAATAATATAAATTATTCTATAATTATTCTATTTTTTAACAGGTTTAGAAAAAAAAAATTACTGTGAAGTTGTATAGATAGAAAATTGATCAAATAAAATAGGGATGTTGAAAACTATTTCATCTATTAAATAAGTGTTTTAAAATTGATTCTGGACACTGCACTGCCATATTTCAAAGCAACACAATTGCAAGTAAAATAAACCCTAATTGTACAAGTTTTATCAGTCAGTGAGAAATACAGTTCAGACTTGAAATAAATGTCCTAACTTGAGCTGCTACCATGGTGCTTAATTGTCCTATGACAAATTAAATTTCAACAGCTTGTTGACTCTCTCATGTAACCTTAAAATTATTTAACTTATACTTCCAACAACTTGTACTTCCAGCAACTTATACTTTAAACAAATCTGTTTTCAGTTGCTGGAATATGATGACAAAGACGACACAGCAGATTTAGAAGAATGTGAGAAGAAACTGGATGCTGCAAGTTGGAACATTCGAGATTTCAGTCTGTTTACTTGGGATCCCGCAGTTGTTGAAAAAGAAAACACCTTTGTATTTAATACAACATCTGATGTCAACCTTAAAACAAATGAGACCCGTAATGGCAGCATCAGTTTTGCTGTATGTTCATTTTAAAAATCAATTTTAATTTGATAAAATACTGATACAATTTGATTTTTGCCAACTCTTAATTTTAGCCCTTGAGTTTTGTTTCTGATTGTCTGGCTGTTAAAGTTGATACTGCTGTCAAAAAATTATGAATATTTTCAAATCCAATAATCTGATACCTTTGATTTTGATAATGAGATGAAACCAAAGTTTTGAAAAATAAAACATGAAACACATATACTTACTTCAGAGTCTTGGAAGGGAGTGGCTATCTAATTATTTCCATTCTCTATACTAGTATTTATTCATCCAACTTATTTTAATTTATTCAATAAATAATGCAAAAACTCTTCCATTTAATTTTAAGTGAAATAAAAAAAATTAAAAATCAATCTTAAATGAATAAACTAGGAATTAATTTTGAAATGCCTCCATATTGGTCTTAGCAAAACACATCCATTTCAAAAGCAATTATAGAGATAAACATTAAGCAATGAGTTAATAGTGAACTGTTCTAATGAGTTAATAGTGAACTGCTCTAATGAGTTAATAGTGAACTGCTCTAATGAGTTAATAGTGAACTGCTCCTATGTAATCCATGAACTTAATATGTTCCAGTTTTCTGTGAAGGGCCAGAATGGCAGAGCCTCAGATTTACCAAGACTGTTGTTCAACTCCAATGAAACATTGTTTGACTTTGTGATAGCCAACTACACACCTTCATTCAACAATTCACGGTTTGCTTTGGAAGTTGCCGTCATCAGTAAATCCAAAAATGAAATGGATGTGGATCTGACAAGATCTATTGATGATGAATATGCTCCAGGTGTATTTCAGGTGAGGAATATCAGCTCTTCTCTTGCTGTTTATTTTCTGGTAATGTCTAAACAAAAAGTTTTTTTCAAAAGTAGTGTATTTAAATTGTGGAAAGGGTAAATCATAAATAGTTCACTACTGGGTATTTATCTAGTTAAGCCAGTGCAGGTATTAAGCTGAGTTGAACCAATTGTATTACAATCTGTTTTACCTCCAGCTAAATAAAATTTTTGTCATATTTCACATAAATCATTCTAAGCGGTTGGATTCAGCCAGTTTAGGTGAATCATAAGTTGAAATATTTTCAATTTGTCAAACCTGTTTCGTTGGGCATCTAAGTTAAATAAATTAAAATATTTTTAATATTTTAATTGTGCATTAATAGATTTACCATTCTTTACCTTCATTTTAATTTGATTGAAGTTTAAAAAATTGAAAAGTTACATAGAATATAACTTACTCATTTATCTAATTATATTACATAGCCATTGCATATTTAAACTATGAGAAATATGTTGTTAAACAATGCTTGAAACCTTTGCTTGAAACTTGTAAACATTCAACAGTGTTGGCATGGGCAGTATATAGGATTCTGTTAAAGGAAAACTGACTGAAGCAACAGTCACAAGAGTTGGGAAATAAGTTATTTAACTGCCTTAGTCATCTTACTTTCAAACAGATTTGCTCGAAATACCAATTAAGCACAGGCTAACTTTCAGGTTAACGTTGCTCTATTTTTAGTCATGAGATTTTATTCTATTATGCTAAATTTGTTGCCTTATCATGCAGCCCCAAAGAGGGTGCTGAGTTGAGTCCCATAAATTTAAAGTTATTTCCCTTTAGAAGTTTGAGTTTCTCCCAATTGTGTTCTGTTCCCAGATAACTGACTGGCTGACCAACCCGCAAGCGAGGGAAACTTCAGGCTTCTTCCAGTGGAAGCCCGTGGCTTATATAAGTAAGTCCAGAGGACGTAACACCGCCACCAAGGTGAACCACTACAAGTTACAGGACTTGACTCATCGAGAGCATGAAGCTGAGCAACTGAACAGTTCAGTTATATGGGCGTTCAACTCATCCCTGTGGAATGACAAGTCTGTCATCATTCGTATAGCAAACATTTCATTTGGTCTCCCTAAAGACGGCTTCTATGTCAAAAATAATTACACTGCATGGTATGTATCACTATTATTATGATAAAAGTCATTGTGACAAATCATTGCTGTTATTCAGCATTTGACACATTTCCTCTCCTGTTAGGATTAATAAAAAGTGGTTAGGTTTAATCAGTATTATTTAATACAAGTCTCATATCATCGCCAACTTTCGGCACTCGTACTTATCGTAGTCTTGTAGCTACTTCGTGTAGCTATTTATGCAGAAGACTTGTTGCACGGACCTATTTGTTGTTTTAAGCTCGGCTTCAAAAATTTTTCTCATTTGGCTCAAACTCTCTTAAGAGAAAGTACTATCTGGATTAAATGTGCAGGTGGCTGTGGCATGGCTGCAAATGACATTTCTACAGGGGACATTGCTACAGAAGACATTATTGCTACAGGTGACATTGCTACAGAGGACATATTGCTACAGGTGACATTATTGCTACAGGTGACATTGCTACAGATGACATAGCTACAGAGGGCATTATTGCTACAGATAACATTGCTACAGGTGACATTGCTACAGGTGACATTGCTACAGGTGACATTGCTACAGAGGACAAAAGTTTGATCATTAGGCTTTACACAAAAATGTTTGCTTTAGCTACAAGTGTAGTACAAAAATATATAGTCATATTTTGTGGAAATAATTTTTTTCAAATCTTGTAAAGATTTTTTGCAATAAATAAAATTAGATAGCGTTTATTTTAAGTTTTTGGCAAATTTAAAACTTGAAGACATGCAATCTATTTACTTTCTGAAAATTTTGACAAATAATGAATGTAATCAAGCATCAAAAGTCCTCAAACAATGGAATTTCCCCCCTGAGGTGGGATGATCACTTGACATCTGACCAAAAAGCACAGGCGGACATACTCAATCAGCAGTTCCGGTTGGTCTTTGGTGACAGTAGAGAGTACTCGGAGGCTGAGTTCTTTCTGAAGACCAACATAATGAACAGAGCCTACCCGTGATGGAAGATATTCAGATTTCAGAGCAGGGTGAGCGTGCCCTCCTCAAAACCATTAACCCCTACAAGGCATGTGGTCCTGACAACATCAAACCACGAGTGCTCAAAGAATTAGCCAAAGAAATCGATCCTCCATTGACAATCCTCTCCAATCATCGCTACGCACAGGCAATGTTCCAGCAGACTGGAGAACAGCGCATGTCATTCCAATCTACAAGAAAGGGGAGCATTCCGACCCTGCCAGCTATCGTCCGATATCCCTCACTAGCGTCGTCTGCAAACTGTTGGAGCACATAATCGTAAGCACAGTCATGAGCTATCTTGAAAGCCAAAATATACTCAATGACTGGCAACATGGCTTCCGAGTCAATAGATCATGTGAGACCCAGCTTCTCGAATTTGTAGAAGACTTGATGACCAATTTTGAGAACAGCAAGCAAACTGATGTGCTGATGATGGACTTCTCAAAGGCATTTGACCGTGTCACTCATATTTTTCCAAGGCACTACCAAAACATGGATCTCTAACTTCCTTAGCAACCGATGCCAGGCAGTAGTAGTGGACAGTACACGCTCCTCATTTGCCGGTGTTAAGTCAGGGGTACCCCAGGGCTTGGTACTAGGCCCCATTTTGTTCCTAGCATATACCAATGACCAATTCAAGAAACTGACATCCCAAGCAGGGCTGTTCATAGATAACACGGCAATGTATAGGACGATCTCCAACAGTTCTGACCAGGACCAGCTAAAACAGGATCTCCATCGGTTAGCTGAATGGAAGATGAGCTGGGACATGGAATTTCATCCTGCAAAGTGCCAGACACTGTTGGTCTCTAGAAATTATACCCCTCTACACCACCATTACAAACTGTATGGCCATAACAATGTCAAAGAGAAAGCCTATAAAGCCTTTGTCTGGCCACTTTTAGATTATGTATCTTCAGTCTGGGATCCATTCACTCGGAAGAGCATTGAAAGGTTAGAGGCCGTCCAGCAACAGGCAGCACGCTTTGTCCTAAACCGCTACAGGAAGTGTTGGCAGCATGCTGGAAACATTGGGCTGGTGATCACTTGAGGAACCACACCAATTATCCAGGCTCTCCATGATGTTCAAGATAAAAAAAATCCGCTGGTCCATTGCTCTAAAATAAACAGAAAATCGTCATTTCTGCAAAAGACAATCAGGGATTGGAACAAGCTTCCAAAATGACTAGTTGAGGCGACAACACTATTGCCTCAGGCCTTCCAACCCCCAGTTCCTGATACACTCCCTGTGTAGCCCTTGCATCCCGTGAAATATCCTCTTCAATAACAGGCACAAAAATATTGCAAATCCCCTCTACATACATAGGAGCAAGATTGATCAATGCATTGATCATGAGCCCATAATAAACAGAAGAAGAATCAATGTTTGACATACAATATAGCAATGCTTTTCATAAACATCTTTCATGGTATCCCTGATTTATTCATTAAATATATTACATCTTTGAAATAAGATAAATAAGAGGAGGCCTGCGTTCAGATTGAAGCAAAATGAAATATGCAGCGGGTTGAGAAAAAGCTAAAGAAGGATAATACAAAAAAAAGAGTAAGTTTCAGCCAAAAGCCTTCGACGGCAAAGAAACAGAGACAAACACTATTATAGTTGACAGGAAATGTTAACTACATATCTATGAAACAAGCTAAGAGCTTTTGTCTCTGTCGAAGGCTTTTCTGCCAAAACTTCCACATTATTGTATTGTCCTTCGGGTTTTCTTCTACGCCGTACATATTTCATCTTTTCAATAATATTCTTGAAGCAACTGGGACTATCAATCTAACAGCTTCCAGAACAAATCTTTTGATTTAAAGATCTCATTCAGCTTCAAAGTTCCATGGCAATAGGAATTTATAGATATGCTGGATTAAGACCTGGACATGTCAATTAGTGGAGTCAAGATAATTTCTTTAAAAAATATAATTTAAATAAATTTTTTTTTTTTTAAATTTCTTTTTCAACCAAGTTCTTTATTTTGTTTCCAGGTCTGCTGCCATGGGCTACGGCAAACCTCCAGAAGACTCAATTTCGACCATGGTCATTATCATCATCTCGGCAGGATTGGGAATTCCCGTTATCATCATTATTTTTGGAAGTATCTTCACTGTTGTCAGGAGATTACGTCAAAGGGCGACTGGTTACATAGCAGTACGTTCAGATCCAATAAATTAGCAGCCATCATCAGACGTGTGCAGTGATTCTATCTCCTCCAAAACTCCTTTACCCAACCTACCCCCATGTTTTTAACTTGGATTTGATTTTGGTTAGCATTTTAATTGTACGGGCAAAAGAAAAAAAGAACTATTGACCAACAATTTTAGGACTTAAAAGGTTAATATTTTGTTTGTTAATAAAAATTTGTATTGACCTTCCAAAGATGAGTTTAACTTATACTGGAATTATTCCATTGACTTGCACGTTAGGACTTTGTTTAAATAAATAGTTTCATATAAGTCCATTCTTTTTTTTTTACTCAGCTTTTCCATTTTTCCCACTTCAACACATGTGCTGCTTTGTTATTAAGATTTTTTCCTATGATTTTTCAAGTTTGTGAATATAAAATGGCTTAGTTTGTCCGTGTCATCTCATGCAGCTTGTAGTTATTTCTTATAAAAAATAAACTGCTTACTCACCAAAGTAATGTTAGCTTTAATTTAAATTTCTAATTCTTTGTTAAAAAGAAATAGGTTAGTAAATTAAAATGTACCTATTTTATTTAACATTATTTTGCGTGTTCAGCAGTGCTAATAGTTTAGCTTCTGGTATGAGTTCATTTTGTTTTATACATCTATTATTATAGTTACTTAATGATTCACATTCCACTTGGTGTGTATTGTAAAATATGTGTTCTGTTTTTGTACTCCCTTCTTACTACAAACAAATAATTTGTGTATAAACAGGAAGTGATGTACTCTTTTTAGTTTTCATTTTGATTGCTAGACAGAAAACCTGGAGAATTGTATTGAGTTCAAATCTTGAGGTGTATAACTGTAAAATGATTTCATATTTGTCAGAATCCAAGCTTTGCAATTGAAAATTGAAATAAATATAGAAGACAGAAAAGGAACAAATTAATATTGACTTGGGCTTTTAAATGAAGAATTTTGCCACTAATTTTACAAATGATGCACCAGAATAACGTTCTGAGAATTTTAAAACCTAACATTTGTTAAGACATGTAAATAACAACAATATGAATATTCATCTTTTGTCTCAGTGTCTCTGAGGTTGAGTGCTTGTCATATTTTCACAGGAGCTTTTGTTGCTAAGCAACTATCAATGCCATCTTTAACACTTTATTTTTAAAGTTTAATGTCTGTGTCACGTGTGTTTTTGTGTCAAATTCTGTATGTTGACTGAATGCATCTGTGTGTGTCAAATTCTTTGTGTAGACTGAATGAGTTTGTGTGTGTCAAATTATATGTATAAAATGAATATGTGTGTCAAATGCTGTGTGTAGACTGAATAAATCTATGTGTGACAAATTATGTGTGTAGACTGAATGAGTTTGTGTGTGTTAAATTCTATGTATATACTGAATAAGTCTAAGTGTGTCAAATTCCATGTGTAGACTGAATAAGTCTGTGTGTGTAGACTTAAGAAAGTCTATGTGTATCAAATTGTATGTTTAGACTGAATAAGTATGTTGAATTCTATGTGTAGACTGAGTGAGCCCATGTGTGATTATTCATTGTGCATCTGTTTCTGAAATAAAAATTTCAATAAAAATTATTGATGCCTGATATGACCTACTGTAAAATGAGAGTAAAAATATGGGCACAGAAGTGTGCTTTTGATGTCTTGTTTGCAAAGTGCTGGAAATTAATAAGTTAAGAAAAACTCTCTCTTCATGTCTTTCAAACCCAATGTCCTAACTTAAGCTCCGCTCCTGACCCTTCATTTGCTTTCAATCAAATATATTTTTCTTTATTATTATTGAGTAATGCAATTAAATCATGTAAGTAAAAATAACAAAACAAGTTTCCTTTTCTGTTTGTCATTGAAAGAAAACAATGAAAGGCGATTCAATTTGATGTACATTGAATAGAAAAGAAGTACAAGGTTTTGAAAGCAGATAGAAAGCCATTTAATTTTTAATTTAGCAGTCTATTTATACTTTATAAATAATAATAAATAATAATAATAATAAAGTTTATTTGAAAAACACGATTCATACCCAAAAGCTTGAAGCGCGGTACAAAGTCAACCATATTTTTAAAAAAAAACAACAACAAAAAATTAAGCGCAAACAATCATAATATTGCTTCCTTGTAAAATATAGGTATTTTTATTTATTTTGAATAATTTTATTCTAAAGTTTATTTCAACTTAATGTTACTGCTTGAAAATATTATGTACTATGTGAACACAATGATAATGCAGTTTTCTTGTTTCCTCTATCACTTGCAGACTAATTAAGTCAGAGGAATCTGTGGCCTGACTTTAGTTAAATCTTATTTCATGTGTCAGTGAATGCACGCTCTAGAAGAACAATTGACCAAAAAGTATTGACTAGAATATATGGGTTTATCTTTATTTTGTTATTAAGATTTTTCATATGTTTGGATTATTAGTATTGAATTAATATTAGGATTTTACTGCTATATAGAATTGATGAGTATTTGCTGATATCCAAAATGAAATACATCCATGGATGGCATTTGTCATCACAAATTGACTTCTCAATTTCTAAGTTACCGAATGTTATTGTATTTTTTTTTAATTTTGAGTGCTGAAAAGCTTAAATATTTTATGTTTAATAATATATATTACATATGAAAAACAAATTCAAATTTTTATGCACAATCATTACATTCGAAATAAGATTTTATTTATTTACCAAATTTGATTTAAATGTACAGAAATTTTATCACTCGTCTCTTAAAAGGAAATATCAAATGAAATTTTTTTAATGCAATTTCTGAAATTCATTTTTTCCAATTTCTTTATAAGCTCAATGTCCATAGCTTAGTGTCAAATCAGCTGATATTTGGCACAATTTATTTATGTATAACCCTTGCATTCTAATGTATTCTTTTTTCCTTTTTGTGGAAAAAAAGATATGGAAACTCGTTTCATAAACTCAATTCAAGTTTTGAGTTTTTAATTGTTTCTGTGGAACACGTGTGATTAGTGAATCTTTTCATTGTTCCGCTGAAATAAGTTTGATAGTGAATCTTTTTGAGTAAGCAATTCACAGGTTTATTAATTTACTTTTAAGGGTATTCCCAAGGATCAAAACAATAAAGTTAAATTGGTGGGCATATATTTTTCTTTGTTAGTTAATATTTAATAATAAAGTGCAGCAGTTTATTTAGGTTTACCTTATGATACCATTAAAATTTACCATATTAAAGTTTTTAATTGAAATAAACATTTTCTTAAACATTCTTTTTTTACTTTATTGCTTTCTGTTCTACAAAATAAAAATATTTGTCTGTTTTTTGTGGGATGTCCAAGGTTATGTCAAATGTTCATGAAGTGAATCAATTATAAGGATATGAGAAATTAGAACATTCTTGAAAGCCCTCCATCCTCTGTTCTTATAATCAATTTCCTGGCACTTCCTGAAATATCATTTCACACCCTCTAAAATGCCACCCCACACTCCAGCACCCTACATCGGGAAACCCTGGTGTAGAGAAGAGGTCTCCAATGTAACGCCTGCAGCCTATAGGACCCCATCACACCATGAGTAAAATATCTGAGGCCCTCGAAAGAAATCCTTTCATTCAAACACTTCCCTTGAATAGGAGTACTGTTCATTGTTTTAAGATTTTAAATTTATAGTTTAAGTAAAAATAACTAATGTAGGTACTTGGGTCAAATTTTCAAAATGAAGTTATAGCTTTAAGAGCTAGTTGGTTAGATAGGCCTGAAAAATGCAATTCATTGATACCAAATTTATCTTTGTTGGTCAATTCTAAAGAAAGTTATGATTTTTTTCGTGAATTATTTTGGGATAACTCTGTTAATTGAGACATATTGGAAAATATAAAAGTGACTAAAATAAAAATTGGGCAGAGATTTGGGAGAGATGTTAAAAAAGAGCAGTAAATTGAAGTTATTTTAATGACTTAATGAAGATAACCATAACAAACCATATATAGGCGCCTATCCGTGATCGTCATAACATACATTATCCAAACAGACGTCATACAATAAATTCTATGGTACGCTAGATGAGCTCATTAATATTCAAAATGGACGTAAAATTTCCATATGTCATATTTGAATATGAACACAACATGAACAATATTCTTCAAAATATAGGGTCATGCATATCAAATTGTTCGTATTGAAAAGGGGAAAATAATAAGTAGCATATGGAAGGGCGAACCAATGTGTCCATTAAAAAAATTAATTTATTCTATATCGCCGATAGCAAATCAATTTTCAGATATTAAATGTACAATATGGAGATTATAGTAGGAGTTTTTCTTGCATAGGGGAGGGGGGGTATCTTTCAATTCTATATTCTTTTTGCTAAGTGTAGCATTAGTTTTTCATAGAATCCCTACAATTAAAACAGAATTGTGCTGCTTCAACAAAGGCCTACACATTGCAAATATGATTAACATTATGTCATAATTTATGATGTCAATATAATTGGATAGGCCTTTAAAAAGATAAAACAAAGTATTTTTGTGTGTGTGAAGCATTTCAAAGTATCAATTCATCTAAATACTAAAGAAATCTTAATTTTAAATCTAATATAAAGATAAAATATACTTTTCTTAATATTTCCATGCTACAAATGTCACGTAGCTAAGGCCAAACTCCCTAATAGGCCTATTATGTGGTAGTGGAAGTTTCACTATTTAAATAAAGAAATACAATTAAATACTATCTATTCATAATATGTATTCTTTGTTAATAATATTAATCTCAAATAACTTAAAATAGTGCTTTTAAATGTTTTAGATGTATATTTTTTTTTATTGCAACTTATGATCAGATTTGGTCAAAATAGTTAAGTGTACATCCATGGGCGCTCGCAGGGGGGGGGCAAGGGGGGGCACTTGCCCCCCCCCCC